TATCGTCCTTTTACCTTGCTGTCACCTCCTCAGGACCTGGACATCCCTTTGTTTGGTTCTCCAAAGATTTTTACATTCTGAGTAATGATAGTAAGATTGAGGATTGTTGAACATAGGTTTCTTTTGTAAAGTAAGAGCAATGGAAGGAGAGGTGATGAAGGATATTTTAGATAAGGTGCTTTCTAAAAAAGAGTACATATACAGCTTGTATACTTATAAAATTATTCATTTGAAACTATACATAGCAATACCTACCTTCGGGGGAAAAATCTTAATGTATTCCTTGGATATGAATGTCCCACTGTGAAGATGGCTGGTTTAGATGATAACCTGCTACATGATTAGAAAACTTTTTTTCAAAAATGAAATAGTGAATTGAAATATATTTACTACATTTTGATGTTTCACTCATTTTCAGTTATTTTTTGAGTACTTATAGTAGGATAAATTTATCTACTGATGATGTCCCAACTATTTGACAATATCATGATGCATCCCCAACATCTTTCCATCTCCAGGATTAATATTCCTAGTTCTTTGAATCATTCATTATTTCTCATTGTTTTCAGTCCCTCACTCTGATAGTTATCCTACCATAAGGATATTCAAAATTATAAAAATTTTCCTTGAATTTTGATGTTCAACTCAGAATAATGTTTCTATTGTCAGGGATAAAATATTAATCTTACTAGTTTTTTTGCAATGTAAAAAGCTACGATTCACTGAATGCTTTCTATATGCTCGGTGTTTAAAATATTGTTATTATTCTCATTTCACAAATGAGAAAGTGAATTGTAAAAAACAAACAAAACTGGATGACTTGAACAAGAAGATAAAGAGCTTCATTCAGTTCCTTGTTTGTTAATTGTTTGCTTGCTGGGCCAGTAGTTGGTTTAACAGCAACATGACAACTTATGGGACACACCTCAGTACATATGCAGAGAGGTGTCCGGAGTAGCTGAGATAGACGATTAGGCAAATGTTAGGATCATCTGAACATCCTCTGGAAAAGTCCGTAAATCTCAGAGGAGCCTGGCATGTGTCATGCTGCTCTGTGGTTAAGAATGGCCTGCCTCAGTGACTCATGCAGTGAAGAGATTTCCAAACTGGACCCTACTCAGTCCTCGAGAGTGTGGAGCATCTGGTAGACTGCTGCTGGGGGGCAGAGGAACCCCCTGATGGGGCTTCTCATTTCCCCTACTCTGCTTCACCCAAAGGACTCTGCTTTTCTCTAGTTTTATTTGTTTACACTTTTCCAATCAGAAGTAAATAGAAATAAAATCAAAATAGAGATAGAAATAATGATGTGTGTGTGCACATGAGAGAAAGAGAGAGAAACCACCAGTCCTTAAAATAATACTAATTTTGGAATCAGTTTGATTCCAGTAATATACGGTACTTCATAGTAAGTGACTTGGGCTTGGTCTTTAGCTACTCTGAGCTTTGGTTTCCTCACCTAACATACAGCAGGTGCTCAAAGATTTTTCTTGAGCAAATAAGTGAATAAATACATAATTTTGTATTTTCAGAAAATGTAATCTTGCAGGCATATTTGAGGATTAATGCTAATATAGGGATAGTTTAGTAAAGCCCAGGTATATAGTAGGTATTTTGTAAATGATAACAATAATAGCATTTATTGCTGTTTTTATTTTATAACCCTCATCTGAGGATATATATATATATATTTTTTTAAATTGATTCTAGAGAGAAAGGGAGGGAGGGAGAGAAAGAGAAAGCATGAGATCAATGTGAGAAGGATTGTTGTTTGTATATATGCTCCAATTGGGGATTGAACTCCCATTCTAGGTGTGTGCCCTGACTGGGAATCAAACCTGCAACTTTTTGATGTACTGGATGATACTCCAACCAACTGCACCATCAATCAGGGCTGTTGCTATTGATTCAATACATTTGTGGATTGATGTACCAGGTGTCCATGTGGCACTTGTCTCTAAGTTAGGTAGATCTCTCATCAAACTTGAGAGCAAGCATTATATAATATGTTGCTGTATATTTGGAATGTACCTGAGTCCAGAGAGGCTTTCTCATCACAAGTCTGGGAATCTCAGAGGCTCCTTGGTTCTCAGCTCTTAGAACTGTGGCTTGAGAGGTCTGGTGGCAACTTGTGGTGTGGAAGAGGCCTTGCCACTGTGCCAGATGTGCCAAAATCATAAAGCAACTCAGTGGGATCAATTCTTGCTGCCATTGCTATTTCTGGGGCTTAAGTCACACTATCTAGTGACATTCAAGTCTTTGTATTTAGCACATTTATTCTCTGGGTAAAAACAAATTATGAATTTACAGCCTATTCTTTTTTTTTTTTTAAATATGTTTTATTGATTTTTACAGAGAGGAAGAAAGAGGGATAGAGAGCTAGAAACGTTGATAAGAGAGAAACATCAACCAGCTGCCTCTTGCACACCCCCTACTGGGGATGTGCCCGCAGCCAAGATACATGCCCTTGACTGGAATCGAACCAGGAACCTTTCAGTCCAGAGGCCGATGCTCTATCCACTGAGCCAAACCAATTTTGGCAGCCTATTCTTTTTTTAAAGAGAAAGAAAGTAATGCATGTGGGGATTAAGACCTGAAAATTAATGTCTTTAATCTGCCCAAGACCTTTTCAGTTAAGTCTCATTGTCTGTGGATCATGTTCATCTGCTATAGAATGGAAGTACTCCAGGATCAGGCATTATCTTTTCAAAGGTTGTGTAAAATGACCTATTCACTTTTATCATTCCTGGTGTACACAACAGACAGTTATTGTTCCTGACAAGAGAAAAAGAAAAATGGCAGACTCATCACATGTCCTAAAAGCTCGGTCTGCAAAAGGAATCCCATTATGTACATATTGTAATCCCATTACAATGTACTATAAAGGTATGTACTGGTATGTTCCCCTTGGGAAAACCCTGCAATGCATTTCTCCAAGTCTAGAAAACAGACGAGTGAGAGTTAAGTCTAATTATGTAAAGATTCTTTGCTTTACAAGACAGTTTTTCTAAAGTGTCTCTTTAAATAGCCAAATCCCGTTTTGGAGTATTCAAAATTGGATTTGCTTTGCAAAAATGTTTAGATTCAACTTTTCAAGAGCAAAGAGAATACACAGAAATGGAGCACACTGCATGTCAAGTGTCAATGGGGAGGTCAAACTTAGTGATCACAGTAACAACAAGCTCTCACCATCCCATCTCTGAGCCCATCAAAGTCAGAATGTCTAAATGTGGCAGGTGGCTTTTACAGGGCATTGGGTGCCCTCATTTCAGGCAGGAAAACTAAGCTGGCACTGGGGTCACTGTCCATCATTAACTGTGACTCTGGCAGCCAAGGGCATCAATTCGTGCTCTGAACCATCATGCATTATTCAGCATGCACTGAATTATTCACTTAAATAGGGATACTTTAAAAAAAAAAGATTGAGACAATTATGAAGAAAATGCTGATGACTTTTATTAAAATAAATGGGAACAGAATTTCTGGAGAAATATTTCTTTCTCCATATATAAGTCTGAGGCAAGGAGAGGTAAAGGAAAAGATGGAATAGGACTAAATAGGAACACAGGGTCAGAAGGAATTCCTCACTGGAAACAAACAACCTTTCCTCCCAATGTCAAACTCTCTTTCTTGAAAAACCTCCTGCTGGCAAATACAAGTGTCATTTCTGATGCATAGCAGGACAAAAACAACACTGTGTACTGCATCACTCAATGGAGTAAGGTGAGCATTGTGCAGGCACTGTGTTAGACTTAACGCTAAGAACACAAGATCCAGAGGGAAGAATGAAATGCACACTTAATAAGACACCTGAGTGCCTTCTAAGACCCTACAATGTTTTTATGTACTGTTGTTCCAATCTGGCTTCTCCAGTAGAAAAATGAGAATACTTCATTTTTTAACACAATGTTATATCAATAGTTGACTAGAATTTGTCCATATTAGCCAAGCTTATAGGGACTCTTTCAGGAAGTTCTATCTGTTGTGATGAAAGGCTATTGTTAATAGAACAGCAAAGGCATTGAGAACTTTAACAGCATCAGGGCCAAGAGGGGGCACTTTGTGAGAGGCACAATACTCAGCATTTTCACAGGGCTGCTCATTTCTGCACTCCTCTGAGTGATATTTTTGTTCCCCTGCTATATAAGCCTTGTGCGTGCTATATGTGCTGGCCAGTGTCTTCATTGTCCGAATATTAGTGTTTCATATACAGAGCGGGTCTTGGACCCGAAGATGAGTGTGTGAGGGACAAGAGGAGGTACATGGGTCAAGAGGAGTGAAAGGTAAGTTGGAGACTCCGTGGAAAGGAGAATGGTTCATTTGAATTATTTGATGTGACATACACGTTCGAGTTTGTTTTCCAGGTTCCGGCCCTCTCATCTCTCCCAAATACACAGTTTCTGTTCCGAACCAGGCAAGACTGGGGAGAAGGGTCGTCCTCAGCAGCTGAGGGAGAACACTGTGAGGTGGCCCTTGAGGAGAGATGACGCCTAGAGTATAAAAATGTGCTCCTGGGACCAAGTGGGAAAGGGGTGCGGGTGAGGAATCAGGCAGCCAGGCAACTGAAGCTTCAGCCCTTCGTAGGCACAGGACTGCGGAAGGGAGTCGCTCACAGGGTGGGTAGGGGTGCTCCTTGTAGCCCCTGCGCAGGTTGGAACTGGGAGCATGTGCTGCAGAAGCTTGCTCTGCCGGGAGGAGGTGTTGGGGTATGAGGGCTGGGTGGGGGCCTGAGGGGTGGCTTGGAGCCCTGGAGGTGGCTGCCTGACGTCACCGGCCTCTCTGGCAATAGGCTGCGAGCTCAGCTCCCGAAAAGGCAGCAGCAGTACGGGCGGGCGGCAGCGCGCCTCGGTGTCTGGCCCCTTCACTCCGTGCCTTCTGCAGCCGCCACTGCAGCCGCGCGGCGGGGCTCCCTCCCTCCAGCCAGCCTGCAGCCCCAGGTGAGAGACTCGCTGCGGCTAAAGGTTCCCGGCGACCGGCGGCAGGGCGGGCGGGCGGTCAGGCGAGAGTGGGCAGGACAGACTCGGCGGCCGGAGCCGCACCCCTGGCCGCAGCCCCGGCCCCCGGCCCCGCCGGCCCGGCCGCGCGCCGCCTCGCTGCTCCGCAGTGCAACAGTTTGCAGCCGCCTCCGGAGAGCAGCGAGGGCTCTGTGCTCGCTGCGGGTCGGCCTGGCGCTGCTCCCCGGGAGGATTCTCCGCACCCTGGGTCCGGGAAGGCCGGAGAGAAGGTCGGTCCCCTAAACTTTGCAGGCGGGAAGCCTCCGCCTTCCATTGCTAGCCCCCCTAAAAAGAAGCAGGATACTGGCAAGTGTGTGTATGTGTGTGGGGGGCAGGGGGTGGAGGGGCGCATGAAGATGGGGAGGAGGGGGCGTTTGCTGGGATGTGCTTCATCTGGTTTTTTTTTTTTTTTTTTTTTTTTTTTTTGTGGGAGGAGATAGCAGGGAAGAAGGCTAGGGAAAGAATGGAGTGCCGTCCTGCGCTTCAGCCGCGGCCCTGGCCAGAGGCGGAGTGGGATGAGGTTGCCCGCGGTCCCCCTTTTGGGTACAGGACCCAAGGGGTCTGACGCCGGCCGCCTGGACAGGGAGAGTCGGAGGTGGAGGGACGGGAAGGGAGAACTGCATCCCGGGGCCCGCTCGGCGGCGCCCGGGTGGGTGCTGGGAAGGGTGGGATCCTGGCGAAGACCAGCACGGAGCGAGCGGGGCGCAGGAGAGAGGAGAGGCATGGATCTGGAAACAGGGACCGACTGCGTTCCGAGGCGGCTGCGTGCCTGTTGTCATTAGAAAGTTGTGAAGGGCGAGGAGAGTCTGCCTCCTCTGCTGAGTAATTCTCCTCTCCGGGGTGCGGACGCGGACCCCTTCCTTCCCTGACTGCGGAGCGAGCCCGGGGCTGGCGGCTCCGGAGCGGAGCGCGGCCTGGGGAGGGCGGGCGGGGGTCTTCCTGCTGCGGCGGTGCAGACGGGCAGGTCCGCGGAGGCAGCGCGCCCAGAGGGCTTTGCAGTGGGTCCTTGCCCGCAACCCCCTGGGCCACGACCGCATCCTAACCCAGCCTGTTCTCTTTGCAGCCCGGTGCCTTGGCAAAGGAAAAAAAGGGCGCTTGGACACGCGTTCCAGGCAGGTCCGGAGAGGCTTTCCGGGCGCCCTCGCTCTCTCTCCTGACGTCTCCCTTGCCCGCAGTGACTCCCTCAGCCCTCTGCTCCTGCGCATCCACTCCCACCCCAGGGAGCCGTTTCGGTTGGCGTGGGCTCCGTCCTCCCTCGGCCGGCCGGTGGGAACGGTGAGCCCTAGAGAAGAAGTCTGGTAGGCAGGGCCCCTCCCAGCCCAGCGCCCATGAGTGCCAGGGCGCCCAAGGAGCTGAGGCTGGCGCTGCCGCCTTGTCTCCTCAACCGGACCTTTGCGGCCCCCAACGCCAGTGGCAGCGGCAACGCGAGCGCCCGTGGCGGCCAGGGCGCAGGCGGCGGCGGCACCTGCATTACGCAGGTGGGACAGCAGCTCTTCCAGTCCTTCTCCTCCACGCTGGTGCTGATTGTCCTGGTCACCCTCATCTTCTGCCTCATCGTGCTGTCCCTCTCCACCTTCCACATCCACAAGCGGAGGATGAAGAAGCGGAAGATGCAGAGGGCTCAGGAGGAGTACGAGCGCGATCACTGCAGCGGCAACCGCGGGGCCAGGGAACCCCCGGCCAGTGGCCAGGCCCCAACCCAAGTCAAAGAAACCCGGCTGGAGAGGCAGCCTCGGGACTCCGCCTTCTGCGACCCCTCCAAAGCCTCTTCCTCCACTTCCTCCTCCATCACCTCCTCCTCCTCGTCCCCAGGCCTCCCAAGCCAGGGTCCCTGTGCTCCTCCGCCTCCGCCCCCCGCCCCCAGTCCGCAAGGAGCACATGCCACCTCCTCCTGTTTGGACACAGCTGGCGGGGCCCTTTTGCAAACGGTGGTACTGTCCTGATTGTCTAGCCCCCTCTCCTCCTCCTTCCTTGTTTCCAGCATCTTTGCAGTCCTCGCTTTCCCCCCTCGGTCCTCCCTCTCACTTTTCTCTGACCTCTCTTTCCTGTTTCTTCTTTCCTTATGTGCCCTCCCCTTCCTGTCTCTCCTCCGCCGAGGCACTGTGCGGTATTTGTAAATATTGGGTAAGGAAAGTCTCGGAAGAAGAAATAACGCTGATAATGACACTTTATTATTAATATTTATAGTGATTATTATAATACCAATAACACAATCCAAGCGCATGACAAATCACGTAATTTCTTATTGTCAATGAAGGACGCGTCTTCCCTCTCCACCCTGCGCCCCCCACCATAAGGAGGAGAAACCGCACAAGCTACCAAATATATAACAGGTATTAACCCTGGAGCAAGGAGTGGAGGGGCCCGGTGTGTTGTACATAGCTGTCAGGTTAAGGTTCCCTTACCCTCTGCCACCCCAAGTTTTCACTTTCCCGTCAGCTTCCCTCCCTTCCTCATTCCCCCCCTCAGCCAGGCTCAGGCAATAGTATATGATGAAGAAAACGTCTACATTAAGCACCAGGACTACCAGAGGCCGCAGAGACAGTCCCAGAAAGAAACGTTTATTTATGACAGGTACTGCTCTCCAGTCATTCCTCTTCTCACTCCTTAGGTAACCATTCCCTTTTCCAGGACCAGGCATTTAAGTTTACTTTTAGATATGCCCCTTGCTGACAGAGCATATTAAAAATCTTTAAGTTAATTTTAAAAAATCTACTGCTTTTGCTCCCTGCCCCACCTCCACCTGCACACCTTTGACTTGTGGCATTTTCAGGATTCACACAGGACTCGGGAGCTGTCCAGCCAGTTCTGGTGCTGAAATAGTCTCACAGAACTGGTTACTTTTTTTTTTGGTTGCGCAGGCGAAGGAGGGGCTTTTTGGAAAGTGACTGTTCTGGGTTTGTTTTTTTGTTGTTGGTGGTTTCTTTCTCCTTTTTCTACAATCTAGTTTGTGTGTACTATCTGTTTTCTTAATACTTAATATTGTATAAGTTACCTTTTTTGTAAAAAAAAAAAAAAAAAGTATTAGGTGATGTTCAGTACTGAAAGTGAAGTATCTAACCAACCAACCAAAATGTTTCCGTTTAATTTTTAGGACAAGTATACTTTTGTTATACATTTGTTACATCAGTACGAAATACAGAAGCAAACTATAGTTCTGTTCTACATCCTCCAAACTATATATTCTTGTTCTTAATTTCCAGCTGTCAGTATAATGGTTATCACTGGATGAGATATTCAGTGGTGCAGGTCTGGCTTCTGCTGTTTCCAGAAGTGTTCTTTTGTATCTTCCTCTGTAGTAGACTGTTATATAAATATAACACATATGTTTTCCTTTCACAAATAACAGAAACAACCACAATAGAAAACAAATAATGGATGTGCAGGAATGCCATCTATTAAAACATGGCTAATATTTAAACAGTACCTGTAGTCCTCCCTGCATGCAATTACCACCTGGAGGCAGTAGTGTGTATGCTTGCTTGTACTGTATGTGTTTGGAGGTGAGACTGGTGGGGATGTTGGGCAATTTGGATGACAGGACATGCAAATTTCAAGAGAAGTTAAACCCAGTAACTACTTATAGGATAAAAATATTTGTATTGGAGTAGCTTGCTTACTTAGAAATCTGTGCTTGCATCTGAAATGTGGCAAAGGAAGTGTTCTCTTTCTCTTTATGAGTCTGGCTTACCTAACTTCAGTGAGTATACAAAGAAAGGTTGGGAAAAAAAGGAAAGTGAGAGAAAAAGATTAATTGTTGTTGAAAGTTTTTGTTTTTGTTTTTGTTCTCTCTCCTGATGCAGGAGAAGGCAATCTATGCTAGTAATGGAGCCTACCCATGGTTAGTTACAACTACCGTATTTTCCGGCGTATAAGAGGACCCCCCTAATTTTACAGTTAAAACATAGGTTTGGGCCTATATTCGCTGTATAAGACTACCCCCCACTTCCGAGGCAACACCAGTTCTTTTTTTAATAGACCGCCTCTCTGACTCTGGCCCATCTGAGCAGGCTTTTTTTTGTTTCAAAAGTCATCTTATATGCAGGAAAATACAGTATGTTTCTCCTGTGCTGATGATGGTGAGAGCAGAGCATATTGCAATCTTAATTATATTCAGTGACATCCCTTCTTGGGAACCAATTCTTGACAGCTATTCAAACATTTGGAAAATGTATGAGTGAGGATGATATACAAAAAGCTCAAAAGAGTCCTTACTAACCTACAGGGTGTTAAGCACCAGTACCCCTAAGTGCATCCCTCTCCCAAGTAATTAGTAGTTCTAGATTCTTTGTCCTGGTTCCAAGCATATGTGCTTTTTCCCAGAGAAAAACATTACCTCTGAGGTTAAGTCGCCCAAACTCAGTCTGCATCTTTTATAAACAATAATTAAATAAGCTTAGTTTTAAGCACCCATCAGATATTCACTCAAGTCCTTTCCTGAAGCACAGAGGATCATCATTTAAACATGCTATGTGTTAATATTAGGGAGATCAGGTACATAATCTTTGGGTACAATTTATTAAACAATGAACCAGATTCTCTCCAGTGCCTTAGTCACTTCCTAGTAATAGGTAAAAGAGTGCATTAACTCCCTCAGGCCACCAGGAAACACTTTACTGCATCAGAGTTATATGTTGTACATCAGAAGGACTAAGGCACTGTGAAAAAGGAAGTCCATTAATATTTGTAGTTCACCCTCATCTGGCTGTAGCTCTTTAATAACTTATTACAGAATGACTTTTTGGATTTGAAATTTGAATAGAATCAAGGACTCAGAAGGGAGCTTCCTTATTTCCATTGACTCCATTAAGTGCATGAGTATTACTTTCTACCCCTTATTTGGTGCACTCTGTATAGTGAATAATTTCCCATTTTATTAAAAGCAATAAGATGTTCTGTTGTGAGCAATGCTGGATGATGATCCCATTTCCTTGGTGCTGAAGCCACTCCTACATTCTTGCCTTATGAATCATAGTACATTCAAGGCATGCAATAATAATCCCCTTCCAAGGAGCAGTCTGTACACTCCAAGGGTAATTATGAAATTGTCCTGTGTAATTTACCTCCAAAGGAATTAGAGGAAAGAGAAGAAATGATAGTATTATGAATATTGTTTTTAAAAAATACCTTGCTATCTCTAAACATGGGCACACATCCATAACATACTCTTATTGGGCATCTTTAAATATGGGTGCCTTTTCCCATTAATTGACTCTGGTTTAATATGTTTAATACTGCTGTGTGTGAAGATGATGTGGTTTGTGAGTCAAATTTCAAGCTGAGTTTAATATTCTCAGAACCCTAAGCTCCCAGCAAAATCACTTGAGACTCTTTATGAGAGAATTACCTGAAGCCTAGTAATGCCAGTCCCACCAAATTATTGCAATAGGCACATATCCAAGCAATTTGCACAGATCCTGTTTAAAGTATTGCTTCTTATAAGAGCTCAGTTGACAGTCCAAGGAGTTTGGGATGCTATCAACAGAGCATTTTGGATTTCATTAATATAAGACAATCTGGAAATAGCTAAATTTATTTTAAAGATTTTATTCACTGATGTCCCGTCAAACTAATTGCTTCAAATCCCTGTGGCTATAGCTCAACTTCTGCACTTGCTATTCTGTATTAATAAGGTGGCATGCTTGATTCTTATTGTTTTTAAAAATGAAAAAAAATGGAGAGAGAGAAAGCATTATGTCAACTGTATGGGACTCTGAATCTTAAAGATGTAGATGGATATAATCTTCTTTAGAATTTATATACACCCATATATATGTATTTCTATATGCATACATTTTGTACAAATTTACAACGGACTTTTTGTATTCTCTTTCCTGCCATTACAAGAATGAGATGGAAACCAAAAAGTTGTTCCATCCTCTTATCCAGAGAGGATACTGAGAAGCCAGGTATATGCATGTATTTATTTCTCTGGGGTCAAATCTGAATACCTTTCTCTTTATTTAATGAAAGGGAAGAATTCTAGTTGGCTCAGGAAATTGGTAATTAGATAAGCTTCCTTTTATAGGTAGTGACTAAAATTAGCAATGATAATGAACCTGTGACCATATCTACGTGGTCTGAATATCTAGGTGGAAAGCAAAAAACACCTAGGAGAGGTTTAGGACCACCTAGACCACAAGCCTGGATTGTTGCTCGATTTTCTACTTTTAATCTATATGTTGTGTGGAAATAAAATATATCTGCATAGCTAAAGGTGAAGTAAAAATACGTCCATTATATGTTTAGTTTGATAAGTAGTTTTTGGAAAATATGGATAAATTAGCTTTAAAAAACTTTGGCATCTGACTTTTCCACCATTTCTATTTATATCAATTGAATTAATTAGGTGATGTTTAAAATTCTATTTTTTCTTTCATTGTGCAGACACATGCTTTAAATCCTTTTCTGTGTGTAACAGTTGAGCATTTACTAGCTGATATGATGTGGAACCTGTAGGTTAAATTAGAACCAGAAACCTGCATCTGATCTGGTCAGGTCCACTTTGAATCAGAATCTGAAAAGCCACTTATCTGGGCCAGCCTCTGTTTAAACTAATAATTGTGGCTTATAGATATTTTGTTCACATGAATTGATTTATTTATAGAGGGGTATTTAATCATTGGATTGAATAATAATTTATCCTGATTCTGGTTTTTTTGTTTATTTGATAACATCTGAGAAATAACTTTGATGGCTTAACATCAATACTTATTAATGTCACCAACCCAATAATACAATTGGTGCCATGTAGGAATGCTTAGCTAAGAATAAGAATTTAATTAACTTTAATCGGGGACAATGTCTTATGAAGTGGTTCTATGTGAGGCAGAGACTTGTGACTTAATTGGGTTGTTTTTATAGAGAGATTAACAATAGTGATGACAACAAGAACAACAGCAGAAAAACTGATTTTTGAACTCGAATATATCTAAGAAACAACAATAAAACAGATATTAGAATTCATGGAAAATTTGTTTTGCTTTTCTATCAATAAAAAGTTTTCTTGTTAAATGGCTTTTTGGACACTTTCCTTATTAACTTAACGTATAATATAGCAGGATTACAAAAGTACTCACTATATTACCCTCAGATGCTCAAAGGAATTAGTTTTTATTTTTTAAAATTCTATCACTCATCTGACCTTCTTCACAAACCAGTTGCATCTGAGAAACAGGCAGTGTCTAACTTTTGGTATAACCCGAAACACTGAGTGTAGTAGAATTTAGCAATCCTTTTAGGCAGATGCTCAGGCTCTTTAGGTCACATGTGTCAAACACATGGCCCTCGGGCCAAATCCGTCCCGCCAGGCCTTGCAATGTGGCCCGCACCGCGCTGTCATCACTGCACTCCGCTGCGTTTCCATCACAATGTCAGTTTATGACTGTTCAGTAAACCATTCGGCCCACGATTTAGGCTGGATTTTAGATTTTGGCCCCTTCTCTGATTGAGTTCGACACCCCTACTTTAGGTTGTATCTTTAGTCTCCCAGATTTCCTCTCTCCCTGACTGCACTTCTCTAATATACTAGTAACCAGCTGTATAGGGAAAAGGTATAGTTGACATGATTTTGTGGCAGTTAGGGGAAAAGAGGAGGTCTCAGATTCATATATATTCTGGATTTTAGCTGAACCCTGCTGAAAAGCAGCAGATTGGAACTGCTCCATAGTTGGTCTATCCAGCTTTTGTGTTGACATTCATTGCTGCAGTCTTGGACCCCTGACCTTTGTCCTGGTCTAAAAGTCATCATCTTTAACCCCCACCCCACTCCCACACTCCATTGACCTCTCCCAGCCCAGGCCTTCATCCTCCTATTGTCTGTGTCCATTGGTTATGCTTATATGCATACAAAGGGGGACAACACATGTAATACTTTCAACAATAAAAATGTTTAAAAAAAAAAAAAAAGAAATTACTACTTGCCCAATACTATGCTGATTGCTGGAGGAACTAAGAAATAAACTGTCCAAAAAAGGGGGAAAATCATCCATAAGAATGTATACATCTTCCCCCCTGCAATCTCTAGGTCCAGATTTTTTATTTGTCTCCTTCTTATAGATATAGGAACTTCTGTATGCCCTGAATACATACATATATACACACACACACATATATATATGTATATATATATATATGTGTGTGTGTGTATATGTATATATTTTTTTTTTACTGAGAGGAAGAGAGAGGGATAGAGAGTTAGAAACATCGATGAGGGAGAATCATCGACCAGCTGCCTCCTGCACAGCCCCCACCAGGGATGTGCCTGCAACCAATGTATATGCCCTTGACCGAAATCGAACCCGGGACCTTTCAGTCCCCAGGCTGACGCTCTATCCACTGAGCCAAACCGGTCTTGGCCCAAGGACCTACTCTTGCAAGGCATGGGTTTTGGCTCAGGATCATCCATCTATGTACCTCCCACTGCCACTTCAGTTCTGCTAGGCTTGCTCCATGTTAGATAGTGTCATGAAGGGTTTCTTCTGAGCTTTTCTAGCCCCATTCTATTCTAATATATCCCAGGGAGAGAGGGTTGCCACTTAGCCCTAATCTTTGGATGTTTTCAAAGCTTTTTAGATGTTTGTGAAGCAGCACCCTTTTGTCTTGACTTCTAAAAGTGTGTGCAGAAGAGAAGAATGCAATCCTTAACAGCTGCCTACCTGTTTTTCTTTTCTGTCTCATTTTTAAAATAAAAATTGTCCCAGACTTACAACAATCAGATTTTCCTCTCACTGCCCATCCCCTCCTTTT